GATGGCGCCTTGTCCGTCCTGGGGGTCTTGTCCAGCCTTGCTCCCCCCGGCCGGACCTTCACTCCTGCCCCAGGCTGTCCCTCCTGACGGGGCTGGGGGGTGGCTGACCCCACTTCCCTGCTCCCTGCTCTCTCTGTCACAGAGCTCTCCCCTGCCTTGTGGCCGCCAGCGGTCTCCAGGGTGGTGGTGCAGTCCTTCTCGCTCACCCCAGGGGAGGCCACAGTGGTGCCCAGGCGGATGCTGGCTCCCTCAGCTGGGGTGGTGACATCAGCCTCCTCGTCACCCTCCTGCTGTGGGGTGGTGACAACCAGGAAGCCCGGCCTCCCATCAAACCTCTGCCCCTCACCTCTTGCCTCATCGTCGTCATTGCCATGGATGCCAGCACCCGTGGGGACAGTAACGTCACCACCAGCAACCCTCCAGGGGCCAGGGGCCACTGATCCTTCTCCATCACCAATGGTGATGGCACCATCCTCATCATCTCCTGTAGGATGCCCATACCTGGGGCTGCTGGTAATGCTGTACCCATGGCTCGGGGGGGCCGGGGGGGGGGGGCATCTCTCTGGGGGGGGCTGTGGTGGCCAGTCCTTCGGGCTGCCTGTGAGCAGGGATGCCATCATCGTCATTGCCATCGTGCGCCACAGTGACACCCAGCCTGGGCAGGGGGCTGCTAGTTGCTTCAGCGGGGATGCCGTCATCCTCAGTGCCAACAGTGGCACCAGCCTGGGTGGTTTCTTGCTCTCCCACGTGGATATTGGCCCGCCCAATGAAGATGTTGACCTCATCGTCCTTGTCCGGAGAGATCTGGGTGAAGCTGGTGGCCCTTGGTGTGCTGCCCACCTTCCTTTGAGTGATGGTGATGCTGCTCGAGTCAGGGATGTAAGCGTATTCATCCACACCTTTGGCATCAACTTGGACATCCTCCATCTTCTCAGTGACAGAAGCAAGAGCAGCACCTCCTGTCCCTGGGCCCTGCATGGCACCCTCCTGCCCTTGGACAGGGATGGTGGCCTCACCGCTGCCCTCATCCACAGCCCCTCCTGTGGCAGGGACCCTCTCCCTGGCAGCTGTCATGGCTCCCTCCCCTGGAACACCCTCCCGGGGCCCCCCACCCCCTC